ATCCTGATCTTCCTATTGCTTTGAGGAAGTAAACTTATTCATGTGCTTTTCATCCAATAGAGACATTTGTTTCATACAATTCATTTTCTCCTCAATATCGGGCCTTTGTTAATCTTGATAAGTTGAAGGTACCTGAGACTATACAGGAAGCTCTAAGTATCCCTGAATGGTGGAGTGTTGTCATGGAAGAAATGAGGGCCCTAGAAAAAAATGGGACATGGGAACTCGTTCAACTACCTAAAGGAAAGAGAACAATGAGTTATAAGTGGGTGTTCATCCTCAAATATAAGGTTGATGGAACTCTTGACTAGCTGAAAGCACGCTTGGTTGCAAGGGGCTTTACCTAAACATATGGCCTGGACTATGAAGAAACATTTGCTCCGGTGGCAAAATTGAATACTATCAGAGTCTTGTTATCTATAGCAGCTAATCTTGAGTGGCCTCTTCACAGGCTTGACATCAAAAATGTCTTTCTAAATGGAGAGTTAAGGGAAGAAGTCTATATGACTCTACCTCCTGGGTTTACTAAAGGTAGAGAAACTCAAGTCTGTAAACTGAACAAGTCTATATATGGTCTGAAATAGTCACCAAGAGCTTGGTTTGATAAGTTCTCAAAAGTCCTAAAGTCCAAAGGTTACAGGAAAGCTTTGTTAAATCATACAATGTTTGTTAAAGTTGAGGGAAGCAAGAAATGTATCCTTATTGCCTATGTCGATGACATAATACTCACTGTAGATCATCTTGAGGAGATAGAAAGAGTAAAGGCTACCTTAGGCAATGAGTTTGAAATCAAAGATCTCGGGAAACTAAAATATTTCCTTGGGATGGAAGTAGCTCAGTCACGAAAAGGAATCCATGTGTCTCAGTGAAAATATATATTGTATCTTTTGAAGGAGACAGTTATGTTGGGTTGTAGACTTGTTGAAACCCCTATTGAGATTGAAAAACTGAAGCAGCCTAAGAAAAAGAAGGAAAAAGGAAAAGATTCCAAGGAGGAAGAAAACTCGAATGAGGAAGGCGATGAAGAAGAGGAGGGAACCAAAGAAAAGGAAGAAGAAGCTGACAAGGAAAGATATCAAAAACTTGTTGGAAAACTAATATATCTTTCCCATACGAGACAAGATATAGCATGTGTTCTTAGCATAACTAGTCAATATATGAGCAACCCAATGAAGAGTCTTATAGAGGCAGTTTACTGGATTTTGAGATATCTAAAAGGTACTCCTGGTAAAGGGTTGTTCTTTAGAAAACATGAGCAAATATCTATTGAAGTTTACACCGATGCAAGTTGTGGTGGAACTTATAAAAGTCAAAGGCCAACCTCTGGCTTTTGTTCATTTGTGTGGGGAAATTTAGTTACATAGAGAAGCCAAAAGCAAAGAGTTGTTTCAAAAAACAGTGCTAAATCTACGTTGAGAGCTTTGGCTTAAGGAATAATAGAGGAATTGTGGTTGAGACGAGTATTGAATGAAATCCAAGTTGAAGCAAGCTCACCATTAAAACTTTAATGTGATAATAAGGTAGCTATAAGCATGGCCTTAAATCCAATGCAGCATGACAGGTGTAAACATATAGAGAGGGATCGACACTTCATCGAAGAAAAAGTGGAAGAAAGAATTCTATGTTTGACATATTTGCCAACAAAGTTGCAAGTGGATGATGTTTCGACTAAAGGGTTACTCGGGCCTGCTTTTGGGAATTGCATAAGCAAGTTGGCCATAGTTAGCATCTATGATCCAACTTGAGGGGGAGTATAGGAATATTTAATATTTATTGCCTTTTATTATATAGCCTTTATTAGTATTTATTTCCCTTGTTCTATATATAGTCATTATGTATCTTTGTTTTGTATCAATAGAAATATTAGTTTCTCCCAAATTCCACATAGCATACACTTCGTTTGATTTATGAAATGTAGGATTCAATGATAGAATAAGTGAAGGAGCCCATTTATAAGCATGAGAATAAAGAGCTTTTTGAGTTGTTTAGAAAATCATTATTGACCGATAGACAAAGAGTTGCACACCTCTTCATTGTCTTACATTCATTGAATCCTTGGTTAGTAATAGTAATATTACAATGTTTATCATTCATGAATCATTTAGTTTTGTTCTTAATATTTTTTTTTAACCAGTTGCTTTAGATATTATACACTTTAATGGCTTAATAGTGTTCCCACTAGAGTTCCTCTTCATTTAGATACTGAAATATCAATTGAGAGTAACATGCCTTCAGAAAGGCGGTCTTCTAAGAGTTCTCAAAATTTATTGAAAGTTTAGACTTCTATTTATCATTTAATTGCTTACAAGATAGGTGGAATTTATAACTTAAAAAGTGGTGGTTAAATTATGGTTCTTTTACCCTGTTCTTCAAAGGGTTGCATTGAAATTTCTTATCAACCGTGCTCTTCCTCTTGTTGTGAAAGAGATTGAAGCACTTACTCTTTCATTCATTCATTGAAGAGAAAAAAAATCACTCCAAGAAGAGCTAAAAACTTAGTTTATATGCATACTAATTTATAACACTAGACAAAGTAGAATGTGAGATATCAGTGTGAGACACTATGGAGCCATTTGATGGTGTTAGTAGTCTTGAGGTTGCAAATGTATCACTTGATAAACCCATTTTAGAGCAAGAACTTATAGGAGAGACTAGTAATATCATGGAAAATGAGGAATAATTTAAATTTACCCTCATCATTTTGAAATGTAATGTATTTTGTAATATTTTGTATTTTCTTGAATTGCTATGCTCTTTTAATTGTTCAATTATTGCTTACATATATATAAAAATTTTTATATACCCCCATACCTATATCCTAAAATTTTTTAAATTTGCCGTATTGCTATATCATGTAGAATTGTATCCAATACTTATACCTGTATCAATGCTAACTAGCAAATAACTTGTTGAGGCTTTTTCCATTAAACTGCCTTACTTGCATCCTTTGTGCAACATCCTCAGCAATTTGCTAACGTTGAATAATTGCTTCTAAATATCTAAGCTTTTTCACATGAAGTATAATTTAAACTCTCAATCTCACTTTCAAATTACTACTAAATGAGCTCTTATCAAAATTGCAATGCAAATATTCCCATCTTACTCCTACTCAGGCAAAAACCTTTCGACTTCAAGGTGAGCTCCACAATGTTAGCGGTTCACGATTCGCATGATCCAACCACAATCAAATCGATAACATAATAATTAAATAAAAAAATATTATATATATAATAATATAAATATAAGAAATAAACATAAAATTGCTAAAATTAAGGCTAAATATTCCAAGTTAACTATGAGTTAATAAGCCTCATGACATAACATAACATTAAATAATTCAATACCAACGCTCACAATAGATATCCTTGTACTAATTTAGAATTTTTTGACTTGAATATTTATTCAAATTAAGACATAAAAAAATGAAAATGAAGGTATTATTTGATATAGGGTTAAAATTGGAACAAAGTGTACAAACCAAATTTGTTTTCACTTTCTCAAAGTGTTTGAAAAGTAAGGGAGGTTTTTTTTAGGGCTAAAATTTGGAACAAAGTGAAAAAAAATTTGAGCCATCTAGTTTTCACAAAACTACTCCTTTTTGCAATTTTTTAATGGTTCCTAATCTAACCACCAGTTTAAAGTGACCTAATCTAATTCAAAAGATAAAACAGTTTTGTGGTTCAAATCAAGCCAAAACAAGGACCAGTTGGTAGTCCAACCAATCGAACTATCCGGTTTGGTTCGGTTTCCAAATCTCCATAACTCAATTTGTAGTTAATATCTTCTCTTGTCTCTGTAATAATAACTATATCATTTACCAAAAGCATGCAATTGGGGATTTTTTCTTGAATATGCTTAGTCATGATCTCTGATGTAATCTAATCTTTATCGAAAAGTCCTTTGCCTTACCACTAAATGTTCTTATACCGGTTGTTGTCCCCTCATATATAGCTTGTATAGCTTTAATATAAGCAACCTGAACTCCTTTCTTTTCTAAGGCTTTCCAAAATGCTTCTTTTAGTACATGATCATAAGCTTTTTCTAAATAGATGAAAATCATGTCTAAATCTCTACCTTTACTTTGATACTTTTCCATTAATCCCTTTAGTAGATAAATCATTTCTGTAGTTGCCCTACTCAGCTTGAAATTAAATTGATTCTCAAAAATACTAGTTTCTAATCTCAACCTATGCAAAATTGATTCTTAGAAATGAGAACAAAACGTAAGAAAAACTCTACATAAAGATTAAATATTCAAAGTACTTCACATTTAGAGCACTTTAATAATATTTTCAACAACTGCAAAGCACTATATTTTCATATGTAGTTTTAACTTGTTCATTATCTCATTCTTCCATATACTGGAACTGAAATTGTTGTGTATTCAATAATCTTTCACTTTGTGAAAGTTTAGCAAAAACATTGGAAATCAATATCCCAAGAGTTTCATTTTGTGGAGCACAATTGTCTACTATCACAAGTTTGAAAGTAGAGTTTAAGTCTGTATCCAACTTCTGTTATAAGCCTTTTTTGTAATATTCTCATAACTTAGTTTCACCATTCTTGTTTTTCCTATTAATTCTATTCATTTTTGCATTTGTATTTTCATTTAAAATAACCGACCTCACCTAATGAGATAAGGTTTGTTGTTGTTGTTGTGTTGTATTGTCATTTAAAATAATGCACAATTTTAACTCAACCTACATTGTTCAACAGTTAAAGTCATAGGTTGTGCCTATCCTCTCTCTCTCTCTAGTGGTTGTGTTTGCTTTTTATGCTTGTCATCTTGTATTTATATAAAATAAGGGAGAACTAATGTTTGTAAGTTGTATAGAGATGCTTAATCAGTTTATATTCGTTGCCATACATTGTATAACTTTTAACATTATGGATATTCTTATGGAGTTCGTATTATAGACATCAATGACTGTATACCTGTCAAAATGACTAGAGGCTTTTTGGACAGAAAATAGTAATACTAATGATTAGTATGCTTGCAGAGGCAGCTCAAGGTCTATTTAGCTCCTTTTCTTCATTGCAAGAGATATACTTCTTTTGGTCGCCATTTTACAAAATTCGACAAGCTTAAGGAGGTAAATACTTCTGAATTACTAACAAAATAGTTGTTAGGAAGATGAATTTTTACTATTAATTATTGTGAATTTAGGGGGATTTGAAATATAGTCGGTGCAAAATATTGAGCTACTACAGTCATATTTATAATCATATGTACAAGACAAAGGAGTAAAGAGTATTAATTACACAGATCTTCTAACCTAATTCTAGTTAGTCCTAGTAAATACAAGGAATATTACTAATTTTTTACACTCTGCCTCAAGCTGGTGTGTATAGATCATATGCTTTAAGCTTGTTACAAATGTCTTTGATCTGAGGACCCTGAAGAGCTTTAGTTAGTATGTCTACTAGTTGATCATTGGAGTTAAAATATTTCATAGCAAGACATTTGCATTGAATCTTCTCTCTCGCAAAATGACAATCTACTTCAATTTGTTCAGTCCTTTTATTAAATACTAGATTTGACGCAATGTGCATTGTAGCTTGGTTGTCACAAATTAATTCCATTTTAGTAATATTCCCATATTTCAATTCTTGAAGAAGCTATTTTAACCAGATAAGCTCACATGTAGCTAAGGCCATGGCATGATATTTTGCTTTAGCACTAGATCTTGCAACGATATTCTATTTCTTGCTTTTCCAAGAAATTAAGTTTTCACCAATAAACACACAATATCTTGAAGTAGAGCATTGATCAATTAGGCATCCAGCCTAGTCTGCATCACTATACCCAACAATTTAGAATATCAAGAGCATACTTCCGTAGTGATATAGCAACTCCAGTTGATGATTGGGCTGCCTCAATACCTAAGAAGTACTTGATCTTGCCCAAATCCTTCATTTAAAAGGATGTCATTAAATGATGTTTGAGTTTAGAGATCCTATCCTGATCATTTCCTTTAAAAACAATGTCATTCACATAAACAATTGGATAAGTGCATTGACTAGATGATGAGTAGCGGTAAAAAATAGTGTGATCTGCGGCCCTACTAGTTGTGGATTTTGGGAGAAAAATAATATTTCTCATTTATTAGAATATTGAGTACAAGTTGACTATATATACACAAGAGAAAATAAATATTAATAATGTCTAATAAAGCCTAATAAAGACTATACAATATTTACAATAAATATCAAATATTCCCACACTCCCCCTCAAGTTGGATCATAGATGCTAATCATGTCTAACTTGCTTATACAATCTTCAAATGTAGGGCCATGTAGTCCTTGAGTCCAAACATCAGCTACTTACAACTTTGTAGGCAAATATGTCAAACATATAATTCCTTCTTCCACCTTTTCTCTGATGAAGTGGCAGTCTCTCTCCACATATTTAGACCTGTCATGTTGTATAGGATTTAAAGCCATGCTTATGACAGCTTTATTATCATAGTAGAGCTTCAATGGTAAACTTGCTTCAACCTGTATTTTATTCAAGACTCGTACCAGCCATAACTCCTCTGTTATTCCTTGAGCTAAAGCTCTTAACTCAGATTCAGCGCTACTTCTTGAAGCAACTCTTTGCTTCTACCTTCTCTATGACTAGATTACCCTACACAAATGAATAATAGCAAGAGGTTGACTTTTGATCTTTATAAGTTCCACTCCAACTTGCATCCGTATAAACTTATATAGATCTTTGCTCATGTTTTCTAAAGAACAGCCTTTTATTATGAGTACCTTTTAGATATCTCAAAATCTTGTAGACTGCTTCCATATGACTTTTCATTAGGTAGCTCATATATTGACTGACTACATTGATAGCGAATGCTATATGTGGCCTTGTATGGGAAAGATATATTAGTTTTCTGACAAGTTTTTGATATCTCTCCTTGTCCGTAGCTTCTTCCTTTTCTTCTTCATACTCCTCATCTGAGTTTTCTTCCTCCTCAGAGTCTTTGCTCTTTTCCATTTTTGTTTTTAGGTTTCTTCTTTGGTTTCTTGACCTCAATAAGAGTTTCAAGAAGTCTACAACCTAACATACCTATCTCAGTAAGAAGACCAAGTATGTATTTTCTCTGAGAAACATAAATGCCTCTCCTTGACCTGGAACTTCCATCTTAAGAAAGTATTCTAGCTTCCCGAGATCTTTGACTTTAAATTCCTTAACAAGGACCACCTTTACTCTTTCTATCTCCTCAAAGTGATCTTCAATGAGTGTTATGTCATCAACATATATAATAAAGATACATTTCTTGCTTCCCTCAACCTTAACAACGTTGTATGATCCGACAGGGCTTGCTTGTAACCTTCAGACTTTAGGACTCTTCAGAACCTATCAAACCAAGCTTTTGGTGACTGTTTCAAGCCATATATAGACTTGTTCAATTTACAGACTTGATTTGCCTTGCCTTTATTAAACCCAGGAGGTAGAGTCATATACACTTCTTCCTTCAATTCTCCATTTAGAAAAGCATTTTTTATATCAAGTTGATGAAGAGGCCACTCAAGATTAGCTGCCATAGACAATAAGACTCTGATGGTGTTTAATTTTGCCACCGGAGCAAATATTTCTTTATAGTCTAAGCCATATGTTTGGGTAAACCCCCTTGCAAGTAAGCGTGCTTTCAACTTGTCAAGGGCTTCATCTGCCTTGTATTTTGGGGTGAACACCTACTTACAACTTCACTGTTCTCTTTCCTTTTGGTAGCTGAACAAGTCCCCATGTCTCATTTTTTTCTAAAGCCCTCGTTTCTTCTATAACAGCACTTCACCATTCAGGGATGCTTAGAGCTTCTTATATAGTCTTAGTTACCTTCACTTTATCAAGATTAGTAACAAAAGCCCGATATTGAGGAGAGTGCGTTGTATGAAACAAACCTCTCTATCAGATGAAGAGTACATGAGTGGGAAGATCAGTAGATTCACTTACTTGTTTTGTACCATTGAGCATTGGGGTTTTAGGAGTTACCTCAAATTCTAAGTCATTATGAGTTTCTGCTTCAAGAGCTACCTTTAGTGTTGACTCTCTTGGTGCTTCAGGTACAAGTTGCTCACTATCTTTCGATTTTTTTTTTAGTGTAAACTAAGAGTTCTCCCTTGTGTGGTCTCTTTGCATCTCCTCCTGATTGCCTGTGTTCCTCAGATTGTGGCATAAGAAGAGATGGTATTGGAAGGGATTTTGGAAGGGTAGATGAAGGTAATAGCTCAGGTTCAGTTGGTGAAAACCATGACTCAAGAAGCACTAGTTCTCTGTTAGATTCTTGTTCCCAACTTTGAAATTCACTTGTGCTCTCCCCCTGAATTGAAGAATTGGGATAGAATGGAGTAGCTTTATGAAAGGTGACATCTAGGCTGACAAATGTGTTTTGTGATAGGGTCAAAGCATTTGTATCCTTTTTGAGTAGGAGAATAGCCAAGGAATATGCATTTGATAGCTCGAGGTTCAAGTTTGGTGCTTTGGTGTTCATGGATAGAGGCTGTGCAACCAAACACACGAAGTGGAAGATTGGTTTCAATATGGGATGTGGAGAAAATACTTTGCAACTTGTGGAGAGGAGTTTCAAAGGATAAAATCCAACTAGGCATACAATTGATGAGGTAAGGTTGCAGTTAAAATGGCATCCCCCCAATAAAATTTAGGCACATTACAAGTAAACATGAGTGTTCTAGCAACATCAAGTATATGACAATTTTTCCTTTTCGTGACCCTATTTTGTTGGGGTCTATGGGCATAAGAAATAGTATGGATAATATTGTGCATTTAGAGAAAAGTACTCAGAGATTGGTTAAAATACTCAGTGCCATTATCTGTGTGTAAGACTTGGATGGTGGTGTTGAACTAGGTTTTGATCACGTTGAAAAAAGTCAGGAACATGGATGCAGACTCAAACTTGTTTCGTAAAAGATAAACCTAACTAACACGAGTGTGGTCATTAATAAAGGAAATGAACCATGTGGCTTTAGTACAATTAGGTGTATGGGATGGTTCCCACAAGTCACTATGAGTGGTTGTGAAGGTTTCGTAGGTATGTATTTGGTTCTCGGAAAGGATTTTCTATGGTGTTTAGCCAGTTCACACACCTCACAATAAAGGTCATTAATATTCAGATTTGGACATAGACTTGGGAACAATCGTTGAAGGTAATGAAAATTAAGATGACCCATTGTCTTATTCCATAATAGAAAATCATTAACTTTAGAGAGAGATGCAAAGTTACCAATAATCGGGGAGTTACCCACTCAAGTGGTGGCTTCAAAATGGTAAAGCCCTTCATACTCCTTAGCAGTTCCGATTGTCGCTCCAAATGATGGATCCTGAAATGCACAATGAGATGGGAGGAATTTAGCATAACAATTTGACTAGATAGTCAATTGACTGATTAAAAGTAAGTTACAATCAAGTTTAGGCACATGAAGGACAGTTGCCAACACTATAGAATCAAAAATTTGAATGCTCCTTTTTTTTGCTACAGGTTCTAAGGAGCCATCTGCAATCTTGATTTTAACATTTCCAGTACAAGGAGTGCAAGTAGTAAACAACTCATGACAACAAGTCATATGGTCAGAGGCTTCCAAATCAACAATCCAGACTATGGCATTGTGAGATATTTTTAGGGCCTGAAGAAACATTCCTCTTTTAGCAATTGTTGCTTTAGGCCCATATTTTGCCATTGACACTACGGTCATATATCTGGTCAACTTCATCAGAATATTTAGGAGAGTGCAAATAACCACTCCTAAGACTTCCCATGAGATGAAACCCATATAACAGAGAAGAATTAGTAGCTATATCCCAAGAGCACTCCAAATTCCTTCAAACAGACTCCCAAACACATTGTAAGGATAAATCAATGTTGAGGAAAAGGTGCCCAATCGTGGATGAGGCCTGGATCTCCCCAGAGAAGGGTCTACATTGCTAGAACGGAGGTGGCACACGCTCCCACGCGTTGCTGGGCTTGTTCTGATAGCGAAGGGCCACATGCGTTGGCAATCGTCACGTCCTCCGAGGGTTTCATTGATTGGAGCTTTCTGAAGACACCTAGGGGCAGTGAGAGCCACAACGGTCTTGACCAACACCTGCATCACAGCCCTAGGATGCTGTACAGAGTACCTTACACGAACCATAACCCAAAAAACCATAATGACAATTTTGGATCATTTGCTCTGATACCATGTCGATTTTGGGAGAAAAATAATATTTCTCATTTATTAAAATGCTGAGTACAAGTTAATTATAAATACACAAGGGGAAATAAATACCTATAATGTCTAATAAAGCCTAATAAAGACTATATAATATTTGCAATAAATGCCAAATATTCCCACACTAGTCATCTCAAATTCCTACAGGAATGTATTGAATCTATTGAACCAAGCTTGAGGAAATTGTTTGAGTCCATAAAGGGATCTACGTAGCCTACAAACTTTCCTAGACTCCCTTGAGCAATAAAATTAGGAGGTTGCTCCATATACTTCTCTTCCTCAAGTTTGCCATGAAGAAAAGCATTTTTGATACTGAGATGGAGAAGAGTCCAGTGATTGATGGCTGCAATAGCTAAGAGCAAGCAAACAGATGCAATTTTGGCAATTGAAGAGAAGGGTTTGTCATAGTCAGTGCCAAATATTTGAGTATAGCCTTTAGCAACTATGCCTTCAATTGGTCAATAGATCCATCAAGAGCAAACTTAACGGTGAACACTCATCAACAAGCCAGAGATTGTCCTTTAGGTAAAGCAACAAGATCTCAAATATGATTAGTATGGAGGGCCTCCATTTCATCAAGCATTACCTGCCGCCACCTAGGATGTAAAAGTGCTTCATTGGTGTTCCGAGGAATGGTAATAGAATTCAAAGAAGACACAAAAGAAGTATATGATGGGATGAACGATGATAGCTCAAAAAATTATAAATAGGATGAGAATTATGAGTAGAATGAGTACACTTACAAAGAGCAACAGGAGCATCATTAGAAGGAGGCAGGACCTGAATAGGGGCTGGTGCTAGAATGGGGGGCAAGTCCACAAGTAAATTACCAAGGCTTGTAGTCGAGGGAAGGTGAGAGCGACATTGGTAAGATTGAGTGATGAGAGTTTTGTTAATTGCGGGTGGATCAAAGTAAGGAAGAGGAAGGACTTTAGACATAGATTGTTGAGAATTAGAGGAGAGAAAATAAAAGAGTTTTCAAAGAAGGTGACATTGGTAGAGACAATGTACTTGATAACAACCAAACACTAACCAAGCACAAAATTCCTAACATCACTTTTCAGAAAAACCTGGAAAAGTCATGCGAACACATTTCCCTGAAACAAAAACAAATCTGAACAAGTTATATTATGCTTCCAAACAATGAGTTACATGCTAGATAATTATATATAATGTAAGCCCACTTGGCAATAACAAATTTTCCAAGCAACAATATGCATTTCCAAACAATAATGTTTTCTAAACAACATTTCATTTCAACAAAACACACATAATCAATCACAAAACAGAAACCATGGCACATTAGTAATCGTTACCTTTACTCCTTGCTATTAAATTTCCTAGACAAGCGAGTTATCACTTTCAATAGTGTTAACACTATAATCTACATACAATACAATGCTAATTATTAGTAATACAAGCATTTAAACACTAATCACACCCTAATCCTAAGATTAGATTAATTAACATTATTAACTTAAACACTCTCCACATACTTTAATCATCAAACCTAGTCATGCTCAACCTCTTTACACTTAATCATGAATTTAAACTTTAATCACCCTAATCATCATTAATCATCACCCACATAGTCTAGGGTTTTCGGATTTAATCATCCTATTTCCATAAACAACATTAAAACCACCTAAACTATACTTATTTAACTTCAAACAACCCATAAATTTGAATCCAATGGCTGGGTATCCTTAAAAACGAAACTCTTACCTTAATCCAAGCATAAACTAGCCTAATGAAAGGATTAGAGGGTAGGAGATAAGAGCCTCAAACACGCATGAAATTAATGTCTCCACCAAAAGTTAGTAGAGCCTTAAATTTGCAGCCTTCAGTTTTTCCCCTCCCATGTTTTGTTTTGAACAGACATTAAATGGCAAAAAATGTGTCATGTGTCGCGGCGCATGCCACAGTGCATAAATCCTCACTTGAGCCCAGAACTTTGGGCTAAAAAATCCGGCTCAATACTCATTTTGGACCCCGAACAATCCTCATACATGATCCTAGGCCCAATTTTAATTATAATTAAGTGCCTAAATGTTTAATTAACCTTAATAAGCCTCAATTAGTAATAATTCCTCTATTAAATTCTCAATTACACACATGTTTCCTCAATTAAATTTCTAACTTAAAATTTAGGATGTTACATTCCTGTTTCAAACTAACAAGAGTAGTGATCACATCATAATAATGATGAATATCATTGCTATATAAAGAGGCAGCCTTACTCTAGACATCAAAAGTAGTCTCAAAAGATGGTAAAGAGGAAGCTACTTGGGATCAATAGAGTTCCACAATAAGGAGTGCAACTGAGCATCAATTTTGACCCAAGCAGATTGCTAAGCCTTAGGAATATCTGAATCTCGCTTAATCAAGTGATCCAAATGGCTTTGTCCCTTAAACCAGAGATGAACTAAAGCAGCCCATGGCTTGTAGTTTGAAGTTCCACATAATGTTTCAGTGGTAATGATAGGAGTGCCACTGAAAATAGGAGGGCACTAGACTTTGAATCTAAGACAGACATCATAGACATAACAGCCTGAATGAGCTAGAGAAAAGAGATGGAAAATGCAACGTGGTGGGAAAAAGGAAGAACGCGCCTAAGATTAGAGAGAAGGAGGCACGATGATCATGACAAAGCAAACAGCAGGGGAAAACACAGCCAAATGTGCCAGTAAGGCGAGACTGCAGAAAAACGAAGGTGATGCATGGGAGCACTTGTGGTGATGGGGCACTGGGAACTAACTGATGGGCAGCTTATGGACACGATGAAGGGGCGTGTGTGGGCATAAAATATTCTAGCAAGGGTGGGTCTGAACTCATTGACGAATGCAGACAGTAACTTTTTTTTTCATGAAAGGAAAGGGTTGGAAGGAAACATAAACCTAAAAAGAATTAAGAAGGATGGCTTTGATACTATGTGGATTTAGAGAGATTTGAAATGTAGTCAGTGTAAAATATTGAGCTACTACAGTCATACTTATAGTCACATGTACAAGACAAAGGAGTACAACAACAATAACAATAAGCCTTTATCCTACTAGGTGGGGTCGGCTACATGGATTGCAAGGCGTCATTGTGCTCTATCATTTACCAAACTTTTAGAAATACTATTAATTAAAAGATCGCGTACAACAACTTCCAAGAGTGTTTTCTTAGGCCTTTTTCTACCCCTCTTAACAAGGCTCAAAGTTATATGTTCCACTCTTCTCACTGGTACCTCTCGCGGTCTTCTTTGCATATGCCCAAACCATCTCAAACGATTTTCTACCATTTTTTCCTCAATAGGTGCTAGTCTTACTTTTTTGCGTAGGTGCTCATTTCGAATTTTATCTTTACGTGTATGTCAGCACATCCATCGTAACATTCTCATCTTTGCTACTCTAACTTTATGCTCTTGCTGCCCTATTAGAACCCAGTATTCACTACTATATAACATAGCCGGTTTGATAGCAGTACGATTAAACTTTCCTTTGAGTTTATTAGGCATCTTACGGTCACAAATAACTCCTTTAGCTTTTTTCCAATTAAACCACCCAGCTTGAATTCTATGTGAAATATCCCCATTGATTTCGCCGTCATTTTAAATAATGGCTCTCAAATATTTAAATTTTTTCACTTGAGGTATAATTTGGTCTTCCAATTTCACTTTCAAATTACTGTCAACTAGTTTCTTACCAAATTTACAATATAAATATTCTGTCTTACTCCCACTCAGACGGAAACCTTTCGACTCTAATGTCCTCCTCCATAACTCAAGTTTACAATTAATCTCTTCTCTTGTCTCTGCTATAAGAACTATATCATCCGCAAAAATCATACATTTCAGAATTTTCCCTTGAATATGTTCTGTCAAAACATTTGGGACCAAGTTAAACAGATAAGGATTCAAAGATGATCCTTGATGTAGTCCAATCTTTATAGGAAAGTCTTTTGTTTGACCACTAAACGTTCTTATACTAGTTTTTATCCTCTCATATGTATCTTGTATAACTTTAATATAAGCAATCCGTACTCCCTTTTTTTTCAAGGCTTTTCAAAGCACTTCTTTTGGTATACGGTCATAAGCTTTTTCTAAATCAATAAAAACTTACTGCTCTTCTAACCTAATTCTAGTTAGTCCTAGTAAATACAAGGAATATTACTAATTCTTAACAGTTATTATCCCTTTTTTACTGTAGAAAAATAGAGCAGATGGCTGAACATTCTGACTTTTATTGGTCTTGAAGCAGTAGAATAGAGTACATATATAGAGGGGAGTTGAGAACAATCCTTTCAATCAATCCCAATAAATCAGCAAGATTCAAATAGAAAATAATTCCCAGTGAAAGTTAATAAAATCTAAGAGTCATGATGCAGTAAAGTAGGAAAAAATTTGCTAAACAAAAAAGATCCAAGAAAGAATAAAGCTCGCATTCAGTTCTCATATCTTAGCTACCTTTGCTATGTCTAGCGAGGTTTGTGTCCTAAATAGCCTCACTCCCCCTGTGATGTCCACCATGAGCCCTGCAATGGAGCTGCTCATGAGGTACTACTCCTATAGCTTGACTTTGCCAGTAAGTTAGGCATGCTGGGCCTTTTGGGACTGGCCCAAATACACATAAAAGCCCAAATAGTGAAGCTTAGCCGAGCTTTTGGCTTGTACTATGGCTTACTCACTATGGTCAGGTACAAGCATAGCAATTACAGATAGGTCAATATTAGTTTAGTTGTTATATAGAAATGATCTTGTTTTTTTTTTTTTTTTAATGCAGGTTGTTGATAGGCTTCATTGCTATGTGCAAAGTGGTGATACAGTAAGTTTTATTCTTTATGCTTTATTTGGGTTGTAATTAACTTTTTCCCTTTTGTCAATATGAATTGGCATTATTGTAATGAAACTGGTCGCAGTAATCCTAGTATGCAGTTTTGACTTGTTATCTAGAGGTCATAAGTTTGTAGTTTCATCATCTAGTTACTTTATTTCTTTTTCTTCTCAGAGACGTTGACATGCTTAAAAGTCTCGTAGCAATTGAATCATAAACACATAATACATTCTACTAAAGTGTTTAGACTCAATATTGTTGTCAGTTTGTTCAAATCATCAGTTAACTTCTGTGAAGAACTGTAAATTCCTGTGGCTTATTGGAATAAGAACATGGGATTAAAGTCTCACAATATAACAGTTGCAATTGTTTTCAAATTCAGAAGGGCTTGTCCTGATATTGACTATGGCTGTATCATTTTAATTAACTCGTGTCATCTGTACAATTACGTGGTATCCTTGGCAGATTGTAGACTTTTGCTGTGGTTCTAATGACTTCAGCTGTCTGATGAAATCAAAGCTGGATCAGATGGGGAAATTCTGTTTATTTAAAAACTACGATATCTTTCAATCTAAGGTTTGGCTTCTGTTCTATTGGTTCTTTTCCATGGCTTCTCTTGAAAACTGCTAATTTGGTATTGAAAGTTTGTAAGCTTTGAGGTCACTCCAAAGTTTGTGTACTTGAAGGCAAGGACCATAAAAGTATGTGGCTTCTGTGCATATGCTATGGAGACAGTTTCTCATAAATCAATCAAATCCTTATGTTTATCTCCATGTTGACTTACTTGAACAATTAAAACTTGTAAACTACTGTGGACATCAATGTTTATGTAGATGACAAATTGATTGGATTTCAATGTTCGAGAACATGGTTAAGTCTGAAGATGGTAGGGCTTTGAACTGATAGTGATAATAAAAAGGAAAAGTAACTCTAAAAAGAGAAATAGAGCAAGAATCTCACTATTATTTCCTTAATAGCCATACTGGGAGAATCTCCAAGACAGACAAACGGTAATGTTTATTACTCAAATAATCATATTAAGGAAATATCTCACTCAATATGACTATTGTAAATGCTGAACTGAAATATCTCCTAATTCTCTTAATTAACCTGGAAACTGAAAAGGAAAGTAGAGAACCTCTCTAACAAAATTAAAGGTCCACTTATTCAGCAACTAACAATAAATAATTAAAATAAGATTAATTCAAATAATCAATATCCCTAAAAAATTTTATAACAGCATTCACTTCTGTTATATAACTTGCAGAATCTCATGTCTTGACCGCCTAAATATATTGCCCAATATCTTAATAAGCCTAGACATAAATGATGACAAATTTTCCCTTGATTTCTGTGCTGGCCTATCATGGACTAGTCTACAAGTTGGATCTTTTGCTCTACTTTGTGGCTGCTTTCTGCTTCAAATTTAGACCTCAGATTCTTGCAGTGTTCATTTAATCCTTAAGTAGATTTGTTATCTCCCTCGCTGTCCTTTTCCTTGCTTAACATGCTTTGGTTATTTCTAATGGTTGTTATGCTTGTAGAATGATTTCTGTTTTGAGAAAAGAGATTGGATGAGTGTCAATATGGAAGAATTGCCCAACGGTTCTCAACTGGTAATTCACAAGAGTTTTGTCTTCCGACTTCCAAGTTTATATAAACATGAATACCCTTAATCCCTTATGAATTGTGAGTTGATTTTTACTTTTCACTCCCTGTGTTGCTACATGAGTAGATCATGGGGCTAAATCCTCCTTTTGGAGTCAATGGTTTTCTTGCAAACAAATTCATTGACAAGGCACTTGAGTTTAAGCCAAAGCTACTGATACTTATTGTGCCAAAAGTAACTAAACGGTTAGTATATCCTGTTTCATTTTATTTTAGCTATTTCAGTATGGTGATTTAAAAACCAATGTCTCGTTTGTTTCTGCTTTACCTTACCAGACTTGACCGAAAGAAAGTCGGATATAATTTAATTTGGGAGGATGATGAAGTGCTTTCTGGAAAGGTGTGCTGACAAAAATTTCGTAGAGGTCTTTTTTCTTGGGGGCAAAAAAAAAAAAAAAAACTCTTTTTGAAGATTACTCATTCCGATCCCTATTATAGGGTGCTTTCTAGAAGGATTCTTTTGGTCCTTAATATAAGGCACTTAATGAGACATTAATTATATTTTTTTAATATTACCTCTATTTAAACTCATTAACTAGGAGAGAAAATGTAATGCAAATTTAAAAAAATTTCATTTAAGTAGGGGTAAATTGAAATTGTATTATATTTTCAGACAAGGTTAATAATCTAGCCACCTCTTCTTGGTTCCGGTGAGATAGTTAGAAGTGCCTTATAATAGGGAACAGAAAGAGTATGGTTTAGAGGAATTTGAAGCATGTCATTAACTTCATTTTCTTTATTCAGTCATTTTATCTGCCTGGATCTGTTGACATACACAATAAGCAAATGGAAGACTGGAACCTGAAGCCTCCGCCACTATACCTCTGGAGCCACCCTGACTGGACGGCCCGGCACACAGAAATAGCTCTGAGGCATGGCCACATCAAGGGACAGGATGCAAGGCACATGACAGGATTGGGATATCATGTAAACAACTACCTTATGGAGGAGAATCATGATTGTTATCAGCATTACTCTGGCTTGCATGCACCTGATGATGTCTGCACCATATTGGATGGTATTCCAGAAGATAATGGCGATGCTGCTTTGCCTGATTTTGCAAGAGACAACAATGGTGAGCTTTTTCCACCCAGAATTGGCATGATGGGTTACATTGTGAAGCCAAGGAAATGATAAAAGATATGGAATTGTCAACTCCATAGGTTGTCTCGGCACTAATCTATGCTCAAAATGTTTTTGTTGAGTGTGAAAACAATGGCCTAAAAATTATATAACTTGGTAGTAGAATTAAATGGCGAATTCATCTTCAGTACAAATATTAGATTAGCTGCTATTATCTATAAGAGTACCAGCCTAACATTCAGGAGTACTTGTACCTGCCTGTCATCTGGTTCGGTGGGCTCTTATGTTGGTACTCTCCCTTGAGTAGTTTCATCTGTGAGAAACTTTATCTTATTCATTAGAGCCTGTAAGTTAAATAGTCTAATTATTTTAAAATTGGTCATTTATTGAAGCCCGCCCCTTGTTGATCGGGTCAGGCGGAGCCCATAAGTCGTTTTTTAATTTGTTTTCATTAATAAATATTTTAATTTTTTAAAATTTAATTTATATATTATAATATCACATTCATTTTCTAAAATACAAATTGTAATGTTTAAAAAGTAAAAATAAGTAATATGAATTTTAATTGTAAAGTATAAACACATTTTAAAGTATAAATTTAATTTAAAAATAAAAAATATCTCAGTTTTAGGAATGAAATTAAATAGTCTTAAACAAGTAGATCGAGTCCCAGGTTATTCTTGTCAAGGTTTAAACAAGCTGGGCTAAGCCTTTTGATATAAAATATCTCAATTTTTAATGCCCAAGTCCAAAAAAGGGGACTTAAATGAGTCATCTAATAAACCTATCTTGTTTTATTGACTACATTGTTTATGCAATGCAAATAAACTCTACGTATGTGTATATTTCTCTAATTTCTATTATAAAGTGCTTTTTAAAAGAATTATTTAATCATTAATATAAGATATTTGATGGGTATGATCATTCTTTGTTTAAATTTACATGACCCATGCCCACTTTTGATATATTGGGCATTAATATTGCCATAGCAGATGTTCACTTTTCTTGGGCCTACTTATCGTCTCAAACCCATTGAAGATCAAGGATAGACTTGAAAAGATTTGAATTTGATAATTTTATTTAATATAAATATTGAGTGTCTGTACTATCTGAATTATTAAAATTCAAATCAATGATTATAAATTTATACTTCACTTGATATTAATAAATGAGTGAGTTTATCTGAACCGTTAATTTGAATTTTAACAACTTAAATAGTACAAGTGCTCAATATTTGTACTAAATACAGTCACCGAATTCAAATCTGACTCGAAAATAATTTTCGCATTGATCTTTGATCCCAAAAAAAATTTCAGATCGACTAAGAAAAGAAATTTTATATAATTCAAAAATTCCATATTTTGTTATCATCAAAATATTTAAGTAAAATATAATTTTGAATTCTTACATTTTACTCGAATTTTGCTATAGGTTCATACACTATTTTTTCGGTATTTTAGGTTGACTTAAAACATCAAAAAATAAAAGTGTAAGGACTAGAATATTGAAAAATAAAAGTGTAAGAACCTAAAATACAGAAAAAATAATGTAAGAATTTATAACAAAACTCAAGTAAAGTGCAATGACCTAAAATAATATTTTTTAAAATATTTAATTTAAAGGCTTGTCATGTTAACTGCCACTTCAATATTTCTTTTAATTATACTTTTTTTCTTCATTAATTTTCAAAGTTAAAAGAAGCATTACTTCTCCAAATGCTAGCGAGTAGATGCTAGATAGTGTTGGCCGCTCCTGACAGTGCATATATGCTTTAAAAGTATGCTAGAGGTTTGACCTCAACTATATGAAAAATTGAGGGGAAAAATAAGGTTTTGGTCCTTATAGTTTCAGTCAATGCTGGTCATGGTCCCTGAAGTTTATTTTTGAAGAAATTAGTCTCTAAAGTTTGAAACCATTAAGATGTTAGTCTTCTAACGGTGACAAACTACGATTGCATGGGGGAAAAAATAATGTGTTGGCATGTATTTAATTATTTAGCTAAATGACTTGGCAAAAAGTGCCAACCTTTGAAGGAGATGAAGCACGTCAATTGGAGATCTGGTAATCATTACCTTCACCTTCTCTTTCTCCATTTCATTTGTGGTCATTTTTTTTCTAAAACCTATAATTGGACAGCCGAGTTTATTTGGGCTAAGTTCAATTTTTGTTAAGTTTAGTTAGACTAAGCTTAAAATATCCTAACATATCAAAAAGCTCATATATTCAAGCCTAAACCAAAACCTTATTTGTCTTTTTTTTACAAATACCAAATTTGGCTATGGACAAAATGAACTCAAGAAGTTGGGTAAAAGTCCAAATGTTGAATTAAATATTTGAAAGGATTTGTTTAAAAAAATATATGTTTGAGAGGGTCATGATTTTGGAGTGATAATATCTATTTCGCTAAAAAAACCAAAATGCCTTTTTACTTTTTTTATATAATTATTTGATTGAGTTAAATTTAAGTATTGCTAAGTTCAATTAAAAGTAACTTTCTTGAAAGCATTTTTTGCTTTCATATGAGTTCGAATTTAAAACATTATGTTTAAATAGTCATAATCACTTATATTAGGATCAATGCATGTTGGTTTTAATTTCTTTATTTATTGCAACTCAATTGAAGGGCATTTTAGTATTTTTGTTGAAAGAAATACTGCCGATCATGATCTCTTCTGAAATATTTAATTCAACTCTTAAGAGTTTTGCTCAAATATTTGACCTTTTGATCCTCATGGCCTAAATTTACATTGAAATGATCGAAATGCAGTAAGTTTGATGATGACTTATGTTAGATGCAATAAATGTTTTGAAGTTGATGATGAAAGTTTAAATGGTTTGGAAATACTAAAAGGAGTTTTATGTGAGCTGGTTATATGCTAGGTATTGAAAGCCGTATTGATTAATTAATATTAATATATTTAACTAATCTATGAACAAATTAGTTTTCTTCAATATTTTTATTAAAATTTAAGAAAAAAGTATACTTTTTCTATCCCTAAATATGTCATATAATATTGAAAATCATACAAATTAAGGAAGTACCAAAATCTAAATCTGTGTATCATGTAAAAATTAGTTTTTCTTTTTTATTTTTACTCTCTAATTCAATGTCACAATATTTTAAGCATCAATGGCTAGAAAAAAGTATTAACTATACTTTTTTTTTATATCAGGTATTAACTATACTTAGAAGAGATATCTTTGAAAAGAAAATAAAAATTAGGACTTATATTTATCTTGTCGAGATGAAATATAATTTACACGTTACATTATTGCATTATACTCCTTTCTATCCAAAATATTAATATTTTCTTTTAGCTAATTTTGATCCAAATAAAAGTAATTTAGTATTCGTAAAAAAAAAACTTTCATTTTTCATCTTGTATTTTTTTTTAACCTAGATTTTCGTATTTGTAAACTTATAATCTTCTTCTTACTCATCATAAATTGAAATTGAGAATAAAAATAAAAATAATATATATTTTTACGAGAATAAAGATATTATTGATATGTAATTTAAAATATATAATGAGTTAAAATATATCTATATTTTAGATAGGAGGGAGTATAAATGAGTTGATAAATTGAATCTTATTAGAAGAAATGCTTATATTTAGTGTGTGGTCGAATGTAGAATTGTCTTAATATAATAACCAATAAAAAATTTTGGATAAAACAAAATGAACCACATAGGACCAAGATATTTGGAGAGACAACAATTAAATGCAGTTTGTTATCAAAATTATGGACCACATTGGAGTTTGGCATTCTCAAGCCGGCTCGATAATGATAATGATAAGAGTTGGGGGCGACGTCAACCGGCCGGTCCGGCCCACAGCTCAAGGACTGGACAGTGGACACACGTCCACGTGAAAACTGGTGAAGGTTCGGCTGTGGTTGAAGATCTGCTGCTTTGTTTCCACAGTAAAACTCGTGCAACTGCACATTCGGTTATTAATGACAATTTCCATCTGCTTCGAAATGTTGGTAAAATATTGTATCAAGTCTGAGTTTGATTTAATTTAAAAAATGATAGTGTATAATTTTAAATTTCTATATTATCATAAAATTATTAAGATAAAATATAATTTGAAAGAAAATGTGAATTCAAATTTTAAATCTATTAAAAATTGAATTAAATGAGAATTTCTTTATATATATATATATATATAGAGAGAGAGAGAGAGAGGAGCATATAAAACCTAAATTAACTTTTAGTGCAATATTTTTTTTCTTAATTTTTAAAAATAATACAATATCACCCTTGCCATTAATAAAAGTTAATGTTAATCATTAGTTAAGTAGAAAGTGATCTTAAAAACTACAAACAAATTATATAAGAAGATTCAAAAATTACATACAATCACTCAAAAAATAATAGAAAATAACCAATAAAATTTTATTAGTCATTTTCTATAATTTTTTGCCAACTAACTGTCAAAATTAATATCTATTAATGACATGAACTATATTGTATTATTTTGAAATATTGAAGAAGAACATTATATTAAAAACGAGTTAAAAATCTCAAACACTCATTGACCTATAATTTAAAGACCAATTTATCATTTAATTCTATAATATACATAAAGAATTTTAGTACAAGAAATAGATATAGACTCCACTGATAGTAAATATTTTTCTTTAAGAAAATACCAAGGCAAAGATAGACCTCTTCAAGCTTATATACGTAAATTCTTTTAAATATTGAAATAAAATATAAGATATTTTAATAAAAATAAGGCTTTATTAATGATACGACTTTTTTGATATTACTTTTTTATTATATTATCTCTTTAATATTATATTTTAAATGAAATATTAATTGAAAAATATTTTTAAAATTTTATATTTTTGTTTTAAAAAATAAAATTATAAAGTATATTTATTGAGTTTTTTTAATATGTATGATTTTATTTATAAGTATCTTATAAATTGAAATGAGAAAATTTTGTTGGGCTTTGTATAATAGTTAAACACTCTGATGTACAGATTTAATACATAGCAAGGAATTGTTATTCTATTTTGGCGGAAAAGGCATTATTATTGCTTTTTCTATTAAAAAATATAAGGTATTTTTTATAAAGTTAGATGTTATAAATATAAGACATTTTTAATCTTTTGAGGTGTAATCATTGTCTTTTTCTTAAAAATGCCCTTAGTAATAATGCCTTTATATTTATTATGGGGTATTTAATAGGGGTAAATATGAAAAGATAGTGTTAGTTTGAAAGTAAGTGACTACTTTATTGGAGAGTGAGATTTGATTAAAAATGCCTTATATTTTTTAACAAAGAAAGTATTATTTAATAGAAGAAACATTTTGAATTTCTAATGCAGTGAACCATTATGTTATTATTATATACAAGCGAAACATCATTTTTTAGTGA